TACCAGATAAGATCCCAGATATAACTAAATTCTCTCCGGAACGAAGTACGGTTATTGTTTTTGAGGATCTATGTGCCAAACCCAAAAAAGTGCAAGAACGAATTATTCCTTACTTCATTAGTGGCCGGCATCAAAATGTCTCACCTATATATGTAAGCCAGAAATATACACAAACACCTAAAATAATTCGTGAAAATATCTCACATTTATGCCTATTTCGGGGATCGGGTAGTAGAGACGATATTAGTAGAATCGTACGTCAATATACAGATGATCCAAAAAAGGCATCCAAGATTATTGATAAGCATTTGCGGAATCGTGAATTCGTGGTTTTTGATTTTACTAAGGCAGTAGACGATCCTTTAAGCGTACGGCTTGGTTGGGATACTCCATTGAAATTAGATGAATAAACCAAGCTTCGATAATCGCAATAATTGTTTATTTTTTTCATTATTTATTGACGCATTAATATAATACATCTATCTGCCACTTCTTATATTATTGAGAAGCTGATTGATCCTGCCGATTTGAAGTTAGAGTGATGGTTTTAACATCTTATTCGCTACTATTCTCCAATGAAATAGCTATCAGTATCCAGCCTGATTGAGGTTGAAGTAGATGTTGAAAAATAAATAAATTCTATTTGTACCGAGGGGGTTTTTTGTGTCGGATAAAATAACCGTATATGGAAACTAAAGTAGAGATAAAGACTCATGGCTATGCCATAAAAAATGTTACCGACCCCTCAGGATATCGAAATAAAGCATGGCATTGCTTACCTCATTTATCGTTTTTTCGCTTTTTTTCTTGTGTTCCATTCCGCAGTCTACCAATAATATTCCACCAAAAAATCTTATATATCTCGAAATGTCCATTACTTTATTCTGTCTTATCAAAGGAAACACACCCGTGAACGCTTTCTCTGTTAAAATAAATAGTAATGAGCCTATTAGTGAGCTCAAAAAAGTTATCAAGGCGGAAAACACGCAGGCTTTTGCTAATGTCGATGCCAAAGATATCAAGCTGTGGAAGGTGGAAATTCCTGATGATCACGATTTCGAATTAGTCAACCCCGCATTAGATGCCGAACTCCTTGCAACCCGTGATGTAGAGGATTACTGGTCCGATAAACCACCCAAGAGACATATCCATATCATTGTCGAATCGCCCGTGTCAACAGCCACATCGAATCGTGAACAGGACCGCATCGCATCGTTGAAGGAATCGCTTAAGAAGTCTGTCCATGGTACATAGATTAGATACTATTAACTGAAAGAGATTTTATTAACCAATACTGAATTGTAGACTTTGACGTCGTCATCCACCCGAAACGTAAGGCAAATAAGTGGACTGCAAATATCGAACATGTAACTCTCGAAGCCCTCAAAGATTATATTCGTAAAGAATATGAACCACCGTCTCTTGAAAAGATGGGGCTGTGTTAAAATTCATAAGTGGCGATAAAGAAAGATATTCACCTCGGAACGATGAAGAATTGCGTGAAATGCTCCAGCTGTTCGTGGTAAAATAGCTTTAAGTTTACCGTGCTCATAGAAACACCCTCAAAAGCCTTTCCAGATTGAACCTTTCCGAAAGTGTGCGAACTCTACGGTCTTAGTGATGACCCGAATCCCAGTACTGACGTGTACCCTCTTTTTTCATGCGGTTGTACTGACCTAAGAAATGAGAAGTCCAAATCCGTGATTAATCATCTAATGGCTGAATTGAACCTTCGTAAGAAGACCACCCCCCTTGATGTTGCGTATGAGTCAATTAAAACCATCTATTCTTACTGTTACCTGGCCAGCGGTGTATCGTTCTATGAAAAAAACTTCAAAATCGTACCAGAAAAGTTTGTCACAGGACACAATGGGCAAGGAAACCTCGATTATGCAATAGAATGTCGCTCAACTAATAGGATCGTGGGTTTAGTCGAGGTCAAAAAGGATGATTTTAAGCAAGGTTTTGTATAAGCTACCGTACAGATGGAATCCTCATTATCCCGCAAACGTAAAGCAGACGAAATAGACGATGTATATGGTTTGGATAAAGTATGGGGAATTGTGACAGATGCGGAAAAATGATACTTTATGGAGTGTACGCTAAATGATGGGAAGCCGACGTTTAAGCTATCGGAACCGGTGACCGTTGTGTATGAAGATGAGGATTTGCAAGCTAAGGTGAAAAAGGTTCTCGGACATATTGTATGGCTGTTGGAGGAGGCACAGAAACCGGTGGAAGCTTCACAAGGTGGAGACCAATCGAGGGTATTAAAAAAGCATAGGTCATCGAGTAATCTCACTGAAGAATAGGATTTCATCATGTATCACGGCTATGTTCCGAAACTTTTTTATATATTAATAAAGTATTTGTTTTTTGCCTCGTAAGAATTATTGGAATATATTTCAAAAAATAGAGAAATTGGTCACGACCACGCATATATTATGAACGTGATAATTAACTAGAAAATTTAAACAAATTCGCATCTTGTATAAAATAATGTCAAATACTCAATCTATTGATTCATTAAGAGAATTAAATGCTAAGCTCTTAGCTGAGATTGCCGAACTTAGAAAGAAGTATGCTAAGGTTGAGGCTGAAAACGTGAAGTTAAGACAGGTCATAGAAGAGAGCATTGAGCTTAAAACCAGGTTTGAAGAGTTGGAGAAAAAAAATAAAATGGATACTGCCAAGCTCACTGCCGAGAATACTGAGCTTAAAGATAGAGTCACGAAATTGGAATGGAAGCAGACTCAGGTCATTATTAATGTACCAAAAGTATCTTCTATAAAAGATATTTCGCAACCTATTGACTCATGGAATGAGGGCACTAACGTGCCTGAAGAAACAATTATTCCTGATGAAATAGAACATAGCCCGGCGAAATCTGAATCTTTAACGGAACTTGAAGAATCAGAGATTCAATGCTCCGCATCACCCTCTGTAACCTCTTTACCACAAAATGATATATTCAAACAAATGTCAGAAAACACATCTGATATATCTGATATCGCTTCAAATTCCGGCGTATGTCAGAAGTCGAAGACTTGTAAATCATTGGAAGATAAGGTGATCGATGAATTCTTGGATGAGGTGCATAAAGAAAAGGTAAGTAATGAAATAAGAGAAAGAAATCGAGAAAAAAAGCTTCAAGAAGAATCAAAGACTCGTTGTAAAACATCCTCAGCTATTCAAGACCTATCATATGGTAGTACAGAAACTATTCTCTCAAAAAACGATCAAGATGGAAATTTATGTAATATGAAAACCGTTCCCTCGGGGAACGATCGAGATGTAAATTTATCATGTGATAAAAAGACTATTAGTTCGGAAATATCTAAATTAGAGCAAGATGTCGAGTGTGATAAAAACGAAATCGTAGAGCAGGGTTTGATAGAAGAATTGCATTTATCTACTGATAAGCAATGCCTCATTGATTCCACTGTTGATTCTGCTATAGGTAATACCAACTCTACAGAAAATAAAGGTCCAGCTCAACATCTATCTTATTTATTTAAAACGGCAATCAAATCTCGACAACAGGAAATCTTAAACTGGTATTATTATTCTCTTGAATTCGAAAACAGGGTTTATGTTATTACAGCTGATGGTAAGATCAAAGACAAAACAGCAAGAACGATGATTTATAAAGAAATGAAACCGTTTCTTCCTAATATCACTCAAGATAACTTGCGTAAAAAAACTCTTAGAGCTAGAAAACTTCTTATGCTATTCGGAGAAAATGGTGTTGGAATAGATAAAATTAAGCTGATTACATATAGTGCGAATGAGATTTCAAAATTGACTAATGTACAAATTCAGAATATTATAGATCGAGTGAAATCAAAAACCATTCCCCCGGGAAACAATCAAGTTTTACCAGAAACAAAGGTAAGTATTACAACCACTTCCTCTAATTCAATAAGTGAAGAGATTGATCGAGATTTTGATCCATCAGAAGTCAAGATACAGGTAAGTGCACCCGCTATAGCATCTGAAGATTTCAACTATGAATACAATTTTGAAGATCCCTTCGATAACAACGAAGATGACTCACGGAGCGAGGATGCTAATGCGTCTAAAGATGATGATGGGTTTTGTGGATTTTCTGACGATGATGATGAAGGTTATTATTATGATTTCAATACCGGTAAAACTTATACAAAATCGGAACATCGTTATTCAATCAGCGCATATTAATAAAATAAAACCTCATTTATGGAATAGCTGGCAAGCTAGTACATCCATGTTAAAGATGATCCGCATCCGAGGTTTTTATATCTTTAGTTTTACTAAAGGCTCCGCTATTGATTTTCAGCACATGTCTTCGTGTAACTTAATTTTTACCATAGACTAGAAATACGTTTTAATATTAAATATTTTTTTGTTGATGATGAACTTCACTAAGAATAAACATTTCAGTTCAGACATAATGCTCATAAAAATACCAACCTTATTTTTAGCACCTTGTGCTTGCTCCGCTAAACTTTGTGGGTTGGGTCAATGTGATTACCAGTAAAGCGATCCACGATTTATCAGCATTACATAATCTCTCGCTAATTAACGTTCATTCTTAGTCTGTGGAATGATTTGCATGACTACGCAAGAATACATGCTATTAGTAATAAAAAGAAATGTTAATACCTGATTACGTTTACTGTCAAGTTAAAAAATCGTTCTCGCATCTTCTCTACTTTACGTGAAAAAAATGATGATCTTTTATATACGGGATAGCGTTAAGTTTTTCTATTGTAAATTAAAAAGTGCTGATCTTCGTGATGAATCATAATAACGTATTTCCCTCAAAAGGGTTATTCCAAAAATCGAACCTTTTATCTGTCTTGCGCAAAAATCAAGTAAACTAATAAAATCTAATCAAACTTACCAATATTTACATCGTTAATATCCTTGATCAAACGAGTATAATCCACAAAGTAATAATAAAGTAGGTGTTTCGGGTTGGCTTCTTGAAACATATCATCACGATGTTAATTGATTTTCCCGCCTCTATAGATGTTCCAAAATAAAACGGACATATTATATATATTGGCATTTTGATCTTCGCCGAGAAAATCTTTGACTATCATCACGCGTATATAGGCGCTGATAAAGAAAAAATTATTTCTTAAAAATGAGACAGACTGGAATGTTCTAAAAATGAATCGTAGTGGTAAGCGTAATCGGAAATATTACTTATTTTTTTTTACCTCAGTTGCTAATCTCCCGAATTTATACTTAGGTTTGAAATTTCTTAAACTCAAGAAAGTTCTCTTGCATAAATAGACAAAAATTCTGTAGATATGGGAGGAATAATTTATTTCGGAAATCTGTAGAGAAAGAGTATTGATATGAAAATCTAGTAATTGGCAATAGTGATAGGAATAAAATAAATAGTATAGATAAGTTGATGCTGGGACTCGCATTAAATGGCCTAGGATCCGCGTACTCCCTCCCTCTTTGATAGCATCATACATTCATTCGCTTCTCTGATTCTCTATATACCTGAAGAAGTTTAGCACATATTTCCGATTTTGCAAGTTATAAAATATTCTTTCTCAAATAATTATTTCGAATTATAATAGTACAGATGAAACCAGCAACTACCGAGAGATAACTCGGATATTCATTGATTCATAACTTAATCGCCGATGAATGGCCGACACGAAGCTATGGCCTAAGTATCTAAAGATACAAGGGAAGTTCTCGCCGCCGATGAATGGCCAACACGAGAAACTTCAGCAAAATCAATGAATCAACTGTCACCGCCGATGAATGGCCGACGCGAACAGTTGTTAGCTACCAAGTAACTCATAACTTCACCGCCGATGAATGGCCGACACGAAGCTATGGCTTCTCCTAAGTATCTAAAGATACAAGGGAAGTTCTTGTCGCCGATGAATGGCCGACACAAGAAATTCAGCATAGTTACACTCACCGTCACCACTTTTCGTTTTACACCTTTTTTTTTATTATTAAGTTGGATGGTTAATCGGTTAGTCATGTGATCAAATAATTATAACTTTTAATTGGCCCAATTCAAATTTATTTTAATTCAAACCAAACACCTAATGATTTACTGACGTGTTGGGACGTGCTCGACTTTAAATATCAAAAATTTCTCATAAACTTTCTATTCTCAAACATGACCGCGACACTAAGATCGAATATTTACGTAAATTTTAGGGCACTTAATGAGTTGAATGTTCATGACTATTTCAAGAAAACAGATGCCCAGGAATGGAGGTTAAACAATTATCTAAATTATCGTTTAGAAACCGAAAATGAAATTCCAACCTGGACTGATGTTATTAATGTTTGGAAGAATTCACTCGAAACTATGATACAAACCAATCACAAAAAAGTTCCAGCCAGTGTAAATTCGTTTTGCAAAGAGTTAATTAATTTCAGCTCTTTTGAGGGAGAGTCTATTCTAAAAAGTTGTATGGAATGGTACAGGGATTTCTACGAGCGTTACTGTGATCTCCAACTTGCCGAAAGGGCTCAGCGCCTTGAGAAAAACATATATTCATCTCAAGGAGTATCAAAGCTGTTACGAAAAAAGACAAATAAAAAAAGATCAGAGAGTGATAACGAAGCAGGCACGTCAAAACAGAAAGAAGTGGTTAGCAAGCAAAAAAAGAGAAGAACGAATGAAGAATCAACAGAAGAAGAATCGACAGAAGCATTGGATGTCTTATTTGATGAGGCGCATGAAGATGAATTGGTTGAATCCATTAACAAATCCATTTTGGGAGAAGAAATAACATTACCTGTTTCAGATGATGTAAGTTTTCTTGTTACAGCTAAGGTTTATAATTAATTTTCAGCATGCTGATGCAACGATGCTTAATAGACTTCAAGGCAAGAATTTCATAGTATCTCTGATAAATTCAAGAAGTATCGGAATAAAATTCCAAAGACGCATCGGATTATAACGTAAGCTTTGTTATTAAGATTTTAACACAATAAAATTATTCGTTCTTAAGCTTTGCTTGGTATCTAATAGATTGGGGTACTGGGGAGTTTTTGACCTGACGCAAGAGAGCCTTTATGAGTGTAAGGAATTTTCCCAAAGCGAAATTGATGAGATCTCACAAGATTTTGCAAATCATATTCAATGGTCTCCGAAACCAACTCCAAAAAACCTTCAAAAATATTTTGATTCCAATTGCGATCCTGTTAATCTTGAAGATAATGAAGACAAGGAAAAACTACACGCGAATATTCAATTTATGTAAGGATTGGCTCATTATTATCTATGATGTATTTTGATATCTAAAAGAGATTTTTTTTTATTAGAATCCTTAACATGAAAAAGGTCGGCGGTAAGACGGAGGAAGAACTTAAATTTACTACCATATACCCTTTATTCAATGCAGTCATGGATCCTTCGTTAATAAAAGATACATGGTACGTCATTGCATGTTGATTTACAGCAAATATATAGTAATAAGATATTTTTCTATGTACACATAGGGGAGAGATTCAGACGCTTGGCTCGAAAGATATGAGGAACGATAAAGCAAATCCTTTTGTCAAAGCTCGTATGGGGCGCAAGGTTGATATGAAAGGCACCCTAACAAAGACATCCAATAAGTTTGAAGCCTTGTACGGGGAGGTCTCAAACGGGTTATCTCCACTTGGAATATCGCTTGCATCACAAAAAAAGAAATATTTGGACAAAGTCAAACTTGCGGTATTAATGAGAGACTCGTTAAATAGTACTTTGAAAAAATGGAAACATTTAAATGATGAGCAGAGAAAAAAGCTTATTGTATATGGTTGGACGCTGGCAGGTAGATAATTCATGTAGACCATTTGCCTGAACTTTGCTATATGACTAATTTATCTCATTCAATATAGGATTTGACTTATCTCTATATGCAATGGACTGGACCGGAGATGGGATGTATCGGTTTGGATTGATAGAAAATTGTCAATTCCCGTCAAATAAAGAAAATTGTGGCTTATTTGAAGGTGTCTTGTGCCTTTTGAAAGAATTGGAGGTATGTATATCTGATTCTTTGTCCTATAATCATCAAATCCTAATTCATCTAATTTTGGGCAGAGGAAATTAATTGAAACGGAAAAGGTTGTCCAGGAATTACATGTCGCAAACACGCGTGGAAAGTGTAGACAAATAACAGTTGAGAGTAGCCCAATCCTAAATCTTAATAGAACTCCTAATTAATTTTTACTTTCCCTTTAACCGAAGCTATAATCGTAATAAAAGTCAAGAATTTTCAGACTCATTCATCTCTTTCTGATTTTATCCTCCACTACTAAATAAAATTATTTGTAAATCATGTTGAATGATTATGATTAATCCCGCTAATCTCTCTGATATAATTACTGAGCGCAGAAATAAGATTTGTTTCATCTAATAATGTACTGATAAACATTGGAATAGGTAGAGGTAGATGAAAATTGGACTATTTTTTATTTGAATAATTAGGGTATTCGATTTTAATTTTTGGATTGAGGGTTTTTATCACTTCTTTACTAATCCCTTTATATCTCTTCAAACTAAGATATTTCAAATTAGTACAATTGCGAGCTATTTCCTTGATGACTTTATTACTAATCGAGCAATTACTAAGTTCAAGATGTTTAAGTTTTGGGCATGAGCGAGTAATTTCAGTGATACATCGATCAGTAAGACATTTACATGAATTAAGACTTAGATGTTGTAGTTTTGAAGAAAATCTCGCAATTTCTATAATTGGTATATTAGTGAAATCCTTACTTTTATCAAGAATAAGAATGCGTATATCTGAACATGAGCGTAGAATTACACTAATCAACACATCTTTGATTTTTAAATCTTCTAACCTGAGATATATTATCTTTGAATAATAGAGTGGTTTTATTTTTCTACGCATAACTCTTTCAAAGTTTATCAATCGCCGAGTAAGAATCCAAGACATATTTAAGGCATGCAGACTCTGCTGATAATCTTTATTGAAAAACTCAATGTGATATCACAGAATTGGAGTATCGCAGTGATACCAAAAGTAATTGACAAACAAAACGGGATAGTAGGGATTGATCAATTTCTAAAAAATATAAGATCTGTTCTAGTAATTCCAGTAAATCAAAAATATTTTGTTGCGTCATTCTCAAGAATGTATATTATATATCTTTAATTGGAAAAAACAACTAATATTCGGATAATTAATTTTAGGCATATATACTATACATTTTCTGGATATTCTCAATCACGCTTAACTTTACAATCAACTCATCTAATGACAGGTCTGTTCCACATCTTCTGGCTTCTAACTGGTTATTATGAGACAACTCATGGAGGAAGTGTTCCTTAAGATATATTTCGTTATCATTTACACCTAATGCTGTTATGTAATATTTCACTATCTTATAATATTCTTTTACTGGTATGAATATTTGTTTTGGTGGTGGGAACTCTTATGAAATATCCAATAATACATCGGTTCCATCAAGCAATGTGAGAGTATGATTGGAAAAATTTATTTCTGACATATTTGTCTGAATCCATAGTGAACCTAATAACAATACATGTGCAAATTCGGGTTTATTAGGAACTAAAATATCATTAACCTCCACCTATTTTCATTTACTGTCTTTAGATCAGAAAGAAGAATTTATTTTATGGATTCTTTCTAGTATTGTTATTCTATCTTCTATAGTTAAATTATTTAGTGATTTTTCAGATGGAAAAGGAATTAATAGTTTGCCTCTTCTTTATGGGAAATATCAATCTCTAAGCCTAGTACATCTACTAAATCTCTGCCTATAAGATTACAATTACTGGCGGTATCTAGTATAGTTTTAACTGGTACTTTATTAATTTTGCAAGATAAAATTCTCATCATGATGTTTTATTATAACAATATATTTAATTATATTTTTTCTGTGTATTAATAATAAATCAATTAAAATCTAATGATTAATAATAGCTGTAAAACAGTTGCCTCCGACAATAATACCTCAAAACTAGTATCTAAAATTATTAAAAAGATATCACATAGAAGAATTTCGATTTCTCTTCACCAATTAATGGAAATAGTAAAATCCAAGATTGGGCTAGAGATTGTTGACTTAATAGCAAATCTGAATATTTCTCAAAGAAACCGTACATCATGTAAGGCTAAAAGAAAAAAGTTAATTTTTAATGATACAGTATCTGAAACAACATCCTTATCCTCATCCTCATCTTCATCTGAATCATCTAATGATAATGAAGATTTTACTGTGGATGTGGCAAAAGTAAAGAAGTGCAATTAATCTTGATCATAGATATGAAATGATCTTGCCTGCTCATAAGGAACTCCTCTAGGTCTGTAATTTACTATAACATAATTTTGCACAGGTGAAGTATGGTTGTCGGATGAGTGATGTAGACATTCTCTAGCAATGGTATAGACGTAGGCTGGATTCTCAGCTTTATGTATTACTGCACCGTAAACTGCTCCTAATTTACATAAATATTTAGGAATTAAATCATAATTTTTTAAGAATCTATTAAACTATTTAATCTCTGGCTTATCTGGATTACCCATTCGACCAGAATATATAGCGCGTTGAATCCAAATAAGCAATTTTCTGGCTCTTTCTTGGTTCTTTTCCATAAATCTAAATTTTTTAGGAGTATCTGACTGACCTTGATTCTTCACATAACCTGTCACTTCAGCATCTGTAATGTGTAAAGTTATAAGTTCAGCGAGGCAAATACAAAGCATTATCATGACATCTGCAAGAGCCTGATAATTGGACAGAGTTTTTAAATCATACGCATCTAACCTTTCTTTGACTGATTCTAATGTAAATTCATCTGGATAGTCAATACGATTAGCTTCAGCCCTTTTCTGATTGTCCCTCTGGATTTTATTAGCATCTTCTGTAATATCTGGAAATTTCATGGCCTCAATTATTTGGAATGAAGCACCAAGGTTTTTTAATTCTCTTTGGAGTCGGGAAAGACATGATGAACCAACATTGGCATTTTTTGCTGATAGGGCTAAGGCATAAGCTTCAGCTCTTACATCTCTAATGCTAAACTTATCCTGTAAAAGCTGATGTGCCATATCTCCGATAGTTTCTTTCTCTATTCCTTTTGAGGGTTTGTTAGAAATTGCAATATTTACATCTCTATTGCAAGACAATGGCTCTTCGAACGTACTTCCATTTTTCTGGATAGAGAATAAATCATTCACTTATCTCCCACTAAATCCATATCTATTCTGTAAGATTCATTTAGTTATCTCTCTGATAATCTCTTCTTCCAAATCTTTAGAAGGTGAAGCTATAGCTATTTTGCAACTATCCTCGATGATATTTATAATCTTGATCTTACTATTTCTCTGATTAGATATTAATATACTTACCTGATCACTGCTAAATTTAAAACCATCTCGAAGATATCATCAACCTTGATTTCACTTTCTATCATTAGTAAGATTTTCAAGAAATTCTGAGGTATATTTACTGAGATCAGACACACTCATCTTGGGGCTGAGATTGTATTTTTCAATGATTTTAGTCACGATAGCTGACATGATCTAATGCTATAGTAGGTTGAGTAGGTTATGAACAGTTCTTTAGATTATATACACTATGAAATATATTTTTTCAAATCGAAATTAATTACCTCCCTCCATGCTCAGAAAAAGAGAGTATATGCCTACATGAGGTAACCGGGACATCAATTTGAAATTTAATAATCACTAAAAATATCAATAGGATCAAAGAGGATATAATGTTACTTAAAGAGGTCCTGGAAAAAATAATCAATATATATCAGGTATATGATACACGTCAATGTCTTGAATCAAATCTGTCAATTTAAAATTCTTTTTCCTCTCATGTTCAGAAAAAGGGAGTATATATAATACTATGTGGGGTAAAGTTTCCTAAATTAAAAAGATAATCTATAATATTTGACTTCAAGCAATTACTACAAGAAGACAAGGATATAACAAAAAAATTATAACTTCAAGTTGTGACGACTCAGATTATATTAACTTTTATGATTTATTTTTCTATTTCTAGTGTACCTATCCAAATAGATTCTGACACGATTCAACAGTTACAAGATATTTGCGATATATATCCGGTCTGCTTTGTAAAATATCAAGTGGTGGTATTATAGCTGGCTTCCATATATTAAATAAAAAGCTTGTATGTTCAGGGTAATCATAATTAATATGTTCAAAAATTTCTGAGTAATTTGATAAATCATTAACATATCTATATCCATTGCAGATTAGCTTTTGAAATGTTGGCCCATTCAGATTTATCATCCAGTCAGTTAATAGGTTAAGCACTTTTTCTGGAGTTTCCAATTCTTGATTGTTTATTTTGTTTATACTATTTATATATATAGCACGTAAAGAATACGTAGTTTTTTGTAATATTTTTATTGGAAAATTTTATGTTGACTAGTTTGTAGAGACAAAAAAGCCCCTCCTTTAGATGTTTCTACCTACAAAACCTCATCTATTCGCTCCTTATTTTATATACATATAACTTATCATAGCATACCATTTACCTGGAGTATGCTTACTATTTTTTTCCATTCCTCGTCAGTATCTAGCCATGATGAGGTGATTCCATCTTTCTCGAGAGAACAGCAGATTATTTCTTTACTTATTAATCTTTCCTGCACTGTCATATTCATATATTCACTAGGATCTTCTTCAGTCTCCGTCACAAAACCACACATTCTCGCATCAGTTTGCATTCTATCATGGAATGCTATGAAATTGAGCTTATCTTTATCAGTTATAGTAATGAAAATCTCTGGATCCTCGTCAAGTTCGATAGCTTTTTGCCTTAATCATATTTCTTATTGCTTCCTAGTTTGATATCCAGGTAGGTATGATATCTGTTGAGGAGATACTTCATTATTATTTTTTGATTCATTGTTTACAGGTAAGTCAGGAAAGATTTCAGGAGATTTAGATTTATCATCTACAGGTTCTACGTGTACAATCTCGGAAAACATGGATATATTAGTAGACTCTAATGATGAAGTAACTGAATATTCTGGTTGATCTATTATCGAATCAAAAAGATCCTGGGTCATGTTAGTAACTGGTGGGGTGGATATTTCCTTACCTTTTTCGATGCGATCAGTATTTGATGAGGTGACTTTTATTTTTTCTGGTTTGGGAGGTACAATTTCTGGAACATCGAATATAGGGATATCTGTGAATATGTTAGTGGATATTTCAGTTTGAGATACGTTAGAAAATTCTTTGATATTAATACCCAATTTGTATAGTTTACTCACGATTTTGGATCGATCAAGGATATAGATCCAGTCTCTTTTTCTATTAATTCATGCTTGCTTGCGTTCTATACCAATTGTTGGAGGAGTTTTTCCAAATTTTTTGTTAGTAAATGGATTTTCACTATTTCTTTCACACCAAATACGATATTTCTAATATAAATTTGAATATATTGAATTCTCAGTTCTATTTTCAGGCCAAGATGAAATATGATCGATTATAAATCATTTCGGGTTTGGTAAATGTTCCAACATTATATCTGTTTTCATTTTAGTAGCAGGAATATCTTGTGGATTCCAATCTGAGATATCAAGACTGAGTAAATAAGCTATAACTACATTTAGTGCGTTAGAGTGCTCGAGTACTTTAACCAAATTCTTAAAATATGTCATATTGCCTTTACAACAAGAAGATATATCGAAATATATGATACGCTGATCACCCATTTCTATTCGGAGTAGAGCATCATGATTACTTAATACCATAAATCCAGCATAATCTTTTATGACTTTTGGTTCAATACCTTTGCGTTTAACTATTAAATAATCTTCTGTGATAAGTGATTTAAGATGATCATTATACTTATTCCAATCCCCACTAGACATACCCATTTCATTCATAACAATTAGTTTATGAGCCTGAATGCAACTATTAAAATATCCCAATATTTTTCCAAGATCTAATGTTACATAGAAAAGCTCTGATCCGAGGACTTTCTTACCTATAAAATCAATTAAGATATTTTTTCCGTAACCTGGTAAGGAACGTAATACTTGAATTATTCCAGGTTTTTTAGATGATTGCTATACTAAATATGCGCACCAGTACCAGAAATATTTACTAAGCTCTTCATTTCTGTTAGAGATTATATTTTTTGCATGCCATAGAATTGGATCAATAATAGCTGGATTAATTTCAATCGCTGGTTGGACTTTGAATCCTAGAAAAAGATTAAAGAACTTGGTATTTGTTGGAGAAGTATTTGGGGGATATGGTAGAAAATCAATATTACGATAAAGAATTAGATCTTTAATAACTGCTTGATCTATTAATGTTTTTAACTTCACTGTTTCACCTCCATATTCTATCATTTTAATTTCATATTTGGCAAAATCCAGCTTAGGCACCATATCATAGTAAAAACCATTATCTGAATCTTCTATTTTAAGTATCCATAATCTTGAAGTTGTTTGGATACATGTAATAGTTGCTTAAATTGCTTCATAAACTTGATTACGGGTATATATTTCCCCTAATGTGCACATATCAATTAAGTCACCCCATATGAAGTGGTCATTTGGATCAGAAATTCTGGGACGTTCTATTTTTTTGGGAGGTGGTAAAGTTTTTTCCTGATTTTTAACATTCTCATTAATGATAAGTTTTAATGAAGGTTTTTTTGTATCTTTAGGTGTATCTTGATCTGCACGATGATAATAGTAACAATAGGTTTTTCTGTTTCGGACTACATATACATTATCATTATTATGTTCTCAATTACATAGAGGACAATGTGATCCTATTATATGTCTTAAAGTGAATATATCTAGAGACACAGGAGTTGGGTATAAAACATCAAAATCTTCGATATTCATTACATTGAGTAGTTTCTCTACATAATCGACTTCAGTTCCAATGGTCTCATTATCTGCTTTACTATTTTTCACTATTTTTTTTGGGATTTCTAAGATCGGACTATCTATAACTGGTGCTTCATCATTAGGAGGATGAAGCATAAAATCAAAAACATTCCTATTTTTGAATCCTAATGCTTTCTTTACACGTATATGTTCTCTCGTCTCTTCAATAAATTTTGGTATTCCAAGTATTCGTAATGAAAATGATCTTTTATTTGCGATATTGTCAATAATTCCTTTGTCTTGTAAACCTACTGGAAGTTTCTTACGAATGAGTTTGGTAAATACTGCGACTTTGGCAATATTCTTAAGATGTATTCCAAATGTTGAGATATGATAAGACATTTTTTTTGAATCACTACTACTGGCAATAGTGATAGTAGTTTTGTCCTATTCTGAAAATATATCCAAACAAGTTTTTGTAAAAATATTATAAAGTGTATTTTTTATCTCTTTAGATGTAAGCTTGAGATCAATTTTATCAAATTTTTCTCTAGATAAATCAAAATTGATAATAGGGCGAAGTGGGTCATTACCATCAATAAATTCATATAATAAATATTCTTGCCATTCACTAAGTATGACTTTTATTCCATCTTCGGAATCTGTACTGAGAAATTGTCTTGGTCTTACACTATCATCCCAAATCTTGTATAAATATTCGGCTACACTCTCGGCTTTAGGCCCCTGGTGGTACAACACCCTACTATTTTCTTCCTCTATTTCTGGCTCAAAATTTTCTGAACTTTCTGGTCGAGAAGGTGGTGCTTCCACCTCTGCTGGCATGTGATCGATGGTTTCTATTGTGGAACAGCTCTTAAGAGTGCCTTTACAGGCATGAGCTTCGCTCTGGAAATTTTGGTTATCTGCAGTTGACACATCGGTTGGTATGGGTACAATAGACATGTTATATTTACTTTGGGTACTCATTTTTTTTCTGAAAGTATATTATTCGTAATTAAAAAGTTCAAAATGAAAATTAATTCCAAAGAATATTAATCAATACATATTATATACTCAATTGAGATAAATATCAAAAAGAATGACATTTTATCATTACTCCTATATTCTTAGAACTGGAGAAGTCTGTAATCAGCCATATTATCATCCCAAGAGATGCAAAGTTCACCAGGATTCACCTATTCGTTATCCTTGTAAAGAATATAGTTGTGTTAAGTTAACTTATTCCAATTATGGTTATTGTGACCCCCATGCACAGAAACATCGTAGAAGAGAGTATAATCATCAGAAGAAACTGGAGAAGATGACATAATAATCAGAAGCAGTTGGAAAAAATATATAGTGGGTATACATGCAATATCTTAGTATAATCAAGTGTCTCTGAAAATTTTTAGTGACAGATATTTTTTAGAGACAAGAACTCTATCAAATTTCATGTTTTTTATCTCTTAGAAAGCTTTTTAGATGTCTGTCACTGAAAACTCTAAAAAAAACGAATTTCTTTACTTTTCTTTTTCTTTTTTTATATATGGGTATATCACATATATATGTATATATATTATATGATATATATCAGGTATATATCAAAGATATATCATAGGTAATGTTTTATTTTTCCTAGAATTTTACTTTATTTTTAGTGACTTTCAGTGACAGTATAGAAGAACAAGATAAAAAAGAATTTAAAATGGAAATTTATTAATAAACCCGTCACTGAAGTTGTCTCTAAAGTTGTCACTGAAAATTTTTTAGAGACAAAAATAATGATACAATTTGCTATATATCCTGATATTGAAGACATGAAAAAAATAAGTATTACTAATATTTCCAAATATGCAATCCGAAATTGATTCATTGAGACAGTAAATTGCTATCTTACAGACTGAACTTGCATTAAAAGAGCAGATTCAAAAAATGCAATTCGAAATTGATACATTAAAAGTGCAAATTGATGAGATAACAGGCAATGATGAAGATTATATACCAGATGATACAAATTAGCAGTTATCTCTAATTTATCCTGACTATATTCAATTCATAATCAACTACATTTCATTATGGTCCAAAAATAGAATTGATAAAGTTAATTCAGCAAGTTTATATCAAGCATATTGTACTTGGTGTGATATTAATAATAAAGAATCATTAAATAATACTATTCTAGGGAAAAGGTTTTCATATATTGGTATTACTCGGAATCAAGCATGAGTAGGTGGTGAAAAAAGAGAATGGCAATATATTCTTGATTGATCTAAAATCATGAATATGATACATGAACTATTTGGTGATAATCATGCTATGAGTAATAATCTCGATAGAATATCCTGATAACATATACTTTGGCTATATACCTCTAGCAAATGATGACATATGATTGAACGCATCATCAGATATATTTTTTATCCACGTGGTCTAATATCAGAAATCAGCTGTGAATACCAAACCAGCATATAATATATTGTTATCGAATTTAAGTTATAATAGAAAATGCAGAAGGATTGGACCAGCAAATAACGATACATAACTGAATGCATTGTTAGTATTTTTTTTTGCCCATGTAGCCTAATGGTAGAAATCAGTTACGATTACTAAACTGGCATATATTATGTCACATGTGACTTGATATACAAAATACACCACCTTGGTGTGTGTCATAAAAAGCAAAATACATGTCATTTGAGTATGACCTAAAAAGCAAAATAACCATCATACTGACGCATGTCTCAGCGGTTCTCAATCAGCGATACAAATATAATCTATATAGCATCCGATATGTAGACTATAAACATCCCAAGTCCGTGTTATAAAAATTGAATCATGACATCTTAGTCTGTATTATAAAAAATGAATCACAACACCTTAGTCTGTGTCATAAAAATTAGATCATGACATCTTAATCTGTGTCATAAAAAATAGATCATGATACCTTAGTCTGTGTCATAAAAAATGGATCACGATACTGATGACAGTGTCATATTTCTGTCGTCATGAGACATACCCAAGTGGGAATAACCTAGACTAAGTGGAAATAACATAATTATGTTATTTCCACTTTCTATACTAAGAAATAATCTATATTTATTACATTAAAAACTTATTTAAATACTTAATATTTTAAAATTTCAATAATTAATTAACTGATTATATTGATTTATTCTTCATCTATAACTATTAATTATATTTTTCAAAATAATTATTAAAGTTATCTTTATAAGTTACATATATTTATATCCTGAAGATGTAACTATAAAGAGATTAGACTATTATCTGACTTGATTTTGATAATCAGTCATAGGATACAAGAATAATATCTGGCATAAACAAAACTTTAGTAAATATTGATGTAAAATATTTTATTACTATAATTTACAGGTAGCTTATTTTAGAATAAATGACTCCAAAAAGGAAAAAAAACGTCTAGAAAAAATTATAATGAACTAATATATTATTTTTAATAATTTTCGTTTCATTAAAATATCCAACCTTTTAAAAAATATGAATCATATTTATCATATTTATCATATTTGGCAATAAATGATTGGCTATTTTTATTAAAATTTCCAAATCAGTTAAAGACTAAATGACGATGCATAAACAGATAATTTTGATTCAGATCAATTGTCTCACATTCTAACTAAACTTTCAATTCCCGCTGTTTGCGTGTTTCCATTTCTACTCTCTTGTCTGTATTGTTGTTCACGTATCAAAGGTAATTTTTTGATTTATCGTTTTCGATTTGAAATTGGTCTTTCTAATATCTTTAACAAAAAGATTGTTCTTTCGATATAAGTAGTTTACTGCTCATATAATCTCAAATAATACTTTCAACTCACAAATACGAAAAGAAACATCTACATATGATTTATCTATTTCTGCATAATTAATACTAAAAATGTTATTTCGCATTTAATTGGCTGTTAATTAGTTAATCATCATGAATCCATCAGAGCGTCACCTGCAAGAACTCGCTTCCCATCCATTATATCAAGCAGAAGAACCGCGACGAAAATATCATCTTGCTTTATTTATGCTGTCATTTGCACTATCGACTAATGGCTATGAAAAGATATCGAAGCGATTACGGCCATTTTTTTCTAAATTAGGAATAAAGATTCCTGAAAGAGAAGAATTTGCATATGTAATAACGTATGTTAATTAAAAATTATTGATTTTTTATTTTTTTTATTATATTTAAACGAATTGTTATAAATTTTTTAGTCGAAGTCAACATGATCACAGAACACCACTAAAAGCGCTGTATTGTCTGAATGATGAGTGTTTGCCGGACGACACAAGGCGTGGGTTAAAAGTCTTTTTAGAGGTGCACATATTTGTGTTATTTTTCGAATTCTTATGGTCATTACCGGGACATATGAAGCGTGGAGATAGGTGAATAGTAATAAATAAATTTTATTACGCTAGAAACTCTTGGATAATATTTAACGCGTTTTATAATTTTGATTAACTGATCAATCGATACTTTAGCTTAACAAAGATATTTAGTAATATCTCAACATCATCATCACGACAAATAGGATTAGTCGCGGCCTCATACGTGTTTCTATATAAAGTTTACTTGCGATTTTTCAAACGAGTATTTGATCCATTATCTCGACCTCCATACGCGCGATTATACACAGATCGGATCTATGATAAACTGTTGCGATCAATGAGACTTCCGCCAGCTTATGAGTTTTATGAAAAATTATTTCATTCACCTTCAGTACCCCCGGCATTAGCGGGATTCTGTGCTGGGCCGGCAATTCTTTTTGCCAAAGATCAATCCCAACGTGTGACTATGTCCGTATATATACTACTCAAAAGCTTTCAGTTTTTATATCATTCGTTATACGAAAATCGAATAATCCCGAGAACTCCATGGTGGTTGGGATCATGGATATTATTTCCATTAAGTTCCGCACAGCTTATTCATGCATATCTAGTAAATCCAGATACTTTTTCGGTAAGGATTCTATTTATTTTAATGATTTAATTAGTATTTTCAGAAAATATCATATTAGTATATTACATATCAACAGGAAAGTTATGAACGGTTTATTACCTCACGCAGTACAACATATGTTCAACCGCGTCCAGGTTACTACCCCAAATCGTTACCATGGCCGACTGGCCGTGAGATCGTAGACTCGATTGGAGTAATCGCGTCTTTAAACTACCCAGAATTCTATTCAAAAAAACTACATCGTGATGTGCCTCCCCTCCCAAAAGAACTAAATCCTATTCAACCGATATTGGAAATAGCACACCCCGCTCACACGAAAACCATGTGCGCAATGTTGCACCCGGATGAGCCAAGTTGTCTAGTGACTTTTTCGAAATTTGTTGCGAAAGAAGGTGTTGGCGCGCTTAAATTCATGGCTATAATAAATGGGATAGGAATAATTCTTAGATGGAAGCAAATTCGCGAAAGGTTTATATAAAGGATTGTCCTTTGCGTTTTCGGTGGTTATTATATGGTTTTAATTAATGCGACATTCTAATATAGACCATACGAGAGCGTAATGCATTGGTTGAATCATTCGGTGCCATTATCATTTAAAGGTGCTACATTCATAACAATGGCAATTGCTACTTCGTGGGGTTTAATATGTGGATTACAAAACATATTTCCGGCAAAATTTATGCCAGTATCGAGGTATCACCTTAATTCTACAATCCTTTTATTTTGCGAACCTATATCTGAATAATCGTTCTTTTATTGAAGAATCTATCTTAATGGGTTCATCGGAGGTCTTTGGATTTTCGCTGAAGATTCTAATCGCCGACTCGATATTGGAATGTACAGTTTGCGATTATCCCTCGAATCTATATGGAAACTGCTGGTGAAGAAGAAAAAAGTGAAAGCAATCAAGTATAGTATAGTACATGTAATATATATCTCTCCATTCTGATGTGAAAATTCGTTAATTGGTTATTGTTTTTTATCTCATAGGAACGGAGAAGCCCTAATCTTCTCATTCGCAATGGCAATAATCATGTCAATATTCCACACAAATCAGCGATGTATTTCTTCCCCATACATTCGATACTGTATAAGAAAATTGGTAGGAACTGAGAGGGAAGATCAATGATGAATAAATAACAAAAATATCTATATTATTATTTAAATATATATATATATATATCTTCTTTATCTAGTTTAGTTTTTTGCAAGTTCATCTTTTGGAATTGGTGTTTGCTCGCTTTATATTTCTATCACACACACACACACACACACTGGTAGTGAGTGTTATGTAATATAATTCTAATATAATTACTAGACTTTTTCATAATAACTAATAAATAATAATGGTCAAGAAAAGAATTTTTATCGATTCTGTAATTGTGCGATGTAAGCATCCAGTTCTTGAGCGATAATATGATTACCACATTTGCTACGGATTTCCCTGCAAAATTTGAAATATTTAATTTTGATAAAAACTGAATAGATTGATTAATTTATTCGGCTCACCTTAATAACTGTACATCTTTCAATGCAAGTGCTTCTTGACCGGCAGCTTTAAAGTCTCCAACTTTGATAAATAAACCAGGACGAACAGCCGGCTCGCACTTAAGAATATATTTTGCGGCCTCTCTGTGTTGCATGGCTTTGATGCATTCTTCAACAAATGGCTTCCCACGGAAAAGTTTTTCATCATTAGATAAATGTCGAAAATTTGAAAATTATAAATAAATCAAATACCTCATAACCAATCGGAGACTTTTTAGACTTCGCCAACTTGTCCAATTCCGTCCATTCTCGCATCTCTACTAACGCTTTAAGCTTAATCCACCAAAATCTATTCCATCATATAATTTAATTACCAAACGAATCAAATTTTCATCAAGGAAACCAGAAATAGATTACCGTTTATCCGATATCTTGAAATCAGATTTTAATTTATCCGCTTTACTCGACTCCTTCGCCATAATACATTTATGTACCGTTTCACTTAGAGATAACCCGACGAATTGCTGGCCTGATATCTCTTTTTCTAGTTGCGATTGCTTTTGTAATAATTTTATGTTTTCTTCTATTGCCTTTAAAATAATTAAAAAGTTATTATGGAATCAAATTATGCATTTTGATATGTATTATTAGATGAATTCTAATAATAAGAAATACTTACCTTTGCCTCGAATGCATGATCCTTATCGTCTTGATATAATTTTAATGCTACTTTTAATTTATCTATCCTCTCTTTGAGATCCTAAAGATAGATATAATCAAAATTAACCTGATTCATAAAACTATTAAAAGTTCAGATCGAAAAATTATCAATTCGAACCAGTTCTATCCAGTTAGGATGATTGCTAATTGCTAACCTTTTGCTCATAGCTCTCCAGAACTATGATATTTGCACGATCAACGTGTCGATCGTCTTGGTAGTAAAAATCCTTCAACAATTTTAGATCTTGCTGTTTGCAATACACTTCCAATAAATTACATGCCATGGGTTTATTGTTTATTATTCGGAAAAATTCCCCAGACGGCTGTAGCTTTCTTTTGAGTTGCAGCATTACATAGTATACTTGTGGATTATAATAGATCCTTTAATTAGTTCTAGTAATAGAAAATACTGCAAACTACATGTGAGATTCACCTAAATCAGTGTCCCCACTTTCTATTGCTTTTATTAGGGCTAATTCATCTTCTTGCATGCTAACCAAAAGAGGGACTTGATCTGCAGCGCGTGGTTCATAATCAAGTAACTATATTCAAATAATTTAATCAGCCATATAATTATGATACAATAATGAAGTATTTTAATTTTAGCAGCTTAAAGTATAAAACCACAAACCTTTGTAGCCAACTTAGGTTGTCCCACTTCATGCGCTGTTTTCGCTATTTCAGCATAAGAAAGTCCAGGTTTATTAGCCAATTGATCAACAATCATACGACAAATCGTCTCCTCATCGTCTTTTGATTTCTTTATCTGAGAAAGAAATTATAACAATATTAGCACAAAATTTATTTAAACAATATATAATTATTATAAGATTTAATTACCTTTGCGCATGCCCAATGAATTAAAACCCTATCAGACCGCATCTTCAAGTATTCGCATATACGTAGCGCGAGCAAATGATGATGCCGATTTATTAATCGATCGATAAGTACATCAGGCGTAAGCCGATCATACCTACAAATGTCTTTGGGTGAGTAAATCTCACAATAAATTTTCTATAGAACGAGTGCAAAAGAATAACTTACTGTGTGAACGTTATAGGTATCCCTATTTCATAATAACGTACAGCGTTCAATATTCTTAAAGTTTGACACATATTTACGAAACGATCGGCATTATAGGACTCCAGAAATGCTTTTCCGAATGATGCAGCTTTTAGTAGATTGCGTTGCCAATATTGATTGAATTCGTGACCTGCAGCATCGATACACGCGTCAACAGCATCAGCAAGTTCAGGCCGAATGCTTCGAATGTTTTCGTCTGCCTTTGGGCTTTTTTTCTAAGAGTTTAAATATTTTGAATTGTATTTTTTTTTCGATCCGTCAAATGACAACCATTTAGGGTACGTATTTATTGTAGTCACACAGGATACTTACTTCAAAATGATCAAGAGCATCGAATAACATTGCACCTGGAGTCGTCGAGCCAATTTTGAAGATATCCTCAGTTACGTCTGTATATGGCAAAAGTGAGGACTATTGAAACGAATTCATAAAGATTCACTGACTAAATCGTCTTATGTCTTACGCACTGGGAACCTTCTGTAGAAACTCGCATTTGTCACTGCTTATAACACGCACGCCATCAACTTCAGGGATCAAATAAATAGCATCGTCGTAGGTATGTTTTATCCAATCACCAAATGGGCCTACCATCAGTACTATCTTGTCCCAATACATTACCACAGAATCAGTTCCACACCTGTCCAGAAATAAGCAAGTTAATCGACGGTAAAATAAGAATGAACAGGAATTCTCAATGCATACCACACTAGCTGTTGAGGAGGAACTTTGGATTTAGTAGGGAATTCTGAGAGATTTTTTTGAAAATCTGTTGAAACGACCCATAGTTTCCCATCAGTTGTGAATAAAGCAAGGAATTTTCCATTAGGAGACACAGCCATTTTAGTGAATGGTCCCTGCTGTAGAAACTGTTCAAAGAAAGCCAATGAATATGTTGTTTTATCGCATTAATAACAGAAGATTACAAGAAGATACTGAATGCTCACCTGATCTTGCGATTCTTTGGCATCCACAGTAAAAATAGTTGACCCAGTTGCCAATAGTACTTCTACATGACGGCTTAAAGTATATTGAGGCGGAATTACCGTCCAACTATGGGGAGGCTCATTTAATCCTTTAATGAAAAATAGTTAATAATGAAATAATCATGCCGTCTATAAGTAAATCTAATTAAGCATCAAGGAATACCAGGGTCAGCCATTAAGCGTGGTCTTGGTTCACTGAAATTCGTAAGAGATATCAGCTTAAAATTTCCAGTCAACGCAACTAAACCAGTTCCCCATATTTGACAATCTATGACAGAGTGATCCTTTGCCTCCTATTTGTGAAGTTTCGTTGAATCAGTACAGTATTCGGTTATTATAAGCGCAAACCTACAATCTATATATCAATTACTCACTTTACCGAGAGAAAACTGTGTATATTCACCATGAATATCGTAAAGTCGAATTGTACCATCTTCCAAGACTACAATTAGCTGTTCTGTATCAGTCCATCCCATAGTAATAATTCGACCTTTATCCCACTATATTATATCGGCAAATTAGTAGATGAAATCAGCGTATTCAAAGAGAAATCAATAAGACTAAACACAATTGAATTTTCATTATACAAACTTGTAATTGTTCCATTAATTTACCAGCTGAAGTATATAGATATATCGTAGGCTTTACAGGTTGCTGTTTCTGGAGTAATAGCACCTTCTTATCGTCACGTATCATTGCTTCGAAAGCAAAAACTCAACATATTACGAAAAGTCCTTTTTTTACAGAAATTCCATCAATCTAGCTTACCGATAGGACCACCATACGGGGCACCAGCAATCATGAATTTGGACAAGTCCACGTGTTTCCATAGCATTGAATAAATTTCCTGCTTCCTATGTATTGTTTTGACAGCGAAATGCATTCATGTTTTAACAATGTGATCTGAATTGCAAGGCGAGTAAGTGTGAAGGTAGAACATGCCTATAGAAGCGGTCTTGTAATTGCATCCAATCCGTCGTAGGATGTGGCGACATAGTTACGAACAAAAATTTGGAATTTACAATACAATGATGAACGTGTCGAGATTATATGTGAGCTAGGTTACACCGAGATGTTATGTGAATCACGTTAAGATCTTTTCGGTAGAAGATACACCTGATATATATATCATTTAGCGTAAAAAAAAATTCTACTAGATGCACAATAAGACATTGTGGGAAAATAAAGTGCTCGAGACTGGGAAACATGCTAGACGACAATTATACGGTTATATAAATCATGTGTATTTTGCAAAGGTGTTCTCTATTTGTAAGGATGGTGTCTATTAAAATAAAGAATTACATGAAAAGACGTATATTGTGATTGTGAAAAAGGAAGGCCAAGGAAATATAAAGATCAATTTAAATAAGTTCACTAAAAATAAATTAATAAATATGATAATGTTTACCAATTTATCCATATGGACACTTCGCGTTTGTGCATTTTCTGTCTAATGTCCCAACCATTCATACAACAAACAAGAAATTATTCAGTCGTTCGCGTTCCACCTCGTGTGTCAAAAAAGTATGTCGAATCATTTTATTCAATTATTTGAGTATTTAACGTTAATTAAATTCGTTGGTGTTCGAAATAAATTTTTTTTTAATCGTGTTTTAATTGATTAATTCATAAAATAACGAAATCCCCTTTTCGAAATCTGGATAATAATCAAATAGACGCGCGTTATTCCTCTTAGAATTTGGACAAACATTGTATAATGCTCCAATAAAAAAAACTTCAATTGATATGCAAATATGTATATGGATAGATCTTTTATAACAGAAAACTGATATTGTTTGTTTAACAAGCAAAAACAGCAGCAAAAATTTCGAGTGCCACCTTTTTATTATCACTAATTTGTAAATAGATATCAAGATTTTCATAAGGAAATAATTTGCTAAAATGCAAATGTTAACAAAGGTAAAAAGCACTTCACTATTTGTTTCTTTTTGCTCTTCTCGGATTGTTCTGTGATTCAACTTTTTATAAAATTCATTGAGAATATTTAAATGACACTTTTTACTTAATGCGTTGTTTTGAAGTTTGAATCAAAAAGCAACCGCGTTAAAGGGATAGCGTTCCACCCGAAACGACCATGGATACTTGCCTCATTACATAACGGGTGTATACAACTATGGGATTATCGCATGGGCACTCTTTTAGAACGTTTCGACGAACACGACGGTAATAACGAGTCTTTGATTTTTACTATATAGAACTTGGCACTATACGTTGTTCAAGTTCAACGCAATTCGCATCAAATTCTTAATGTTCCTATTCACATTCTCATAATTGGTCGATTTCGATTTTCGATATTATTAATACACACAGGCCCAGTTCGGGGAATCGCCTTTCATCCAACGCAACCACTTTTTGTATCTGGCGGTGACGACTACAAAATCAAAGTCTGGAATTACAAAACACGCAAATGCTTGTTCACGCTGAACGGGCATTTGGACTATGTGCGCACTGTTTTCTTTCATCACGAGTACCCGTGGATTTTGAGTGCTTCTGATGATCAGACCATTCGTATTTGGAATTGGCAATCGCGGAATTACATAGCTACATTGACTGGACACAATCATTATGTTATGTGTGCACAGTTTCATCCAAAAGAAGATTTAGTGGTATCTGCGTCGTTAGATCAGACTGTTCGAGTTTGGGATATTTCAGGTGCGGGATAAAAAATTATGATAGTGACACGAATAAATAAGTAATTGTTTGCATTCATCTCATCAAATTAAAAAATTTTCGAAAATCACTTAAACATAAAATTTAGGCCTTAGAAAGAAAAATGCTGCGCCTAGCTCAATAACATTTGAAGATGCTTTACATAGATCACAGACAACTCAAGCTGATATATTTGCAAATTCGGATGCAATTGTCAAATACGTTTTGGAAGGACATGATCGAGGTGTGAATTGGGCTACATTTCATCCTACACTTCCATTGATCGTTTCAGCAGGAGATGATCGTCAAATAAAGATATGGCGATATAGCGGTAATACATTCAACTTACTTAACATTGCGTGCGAATATAGACTCGTTCAGTTTTATAAATAATATATTAATTCCCTTAGCGTAATTTCTATATTTTAGATAACAAAGCATGGGAAATCGATACGTGTCGCGGACACTTCAACAATGTGTCGGCTGCACTTTTTCATCCAAGACAAGAACTAATAATCTCAGACGCAGAAGATAAGACTATTCGCGTGTGGGATATGACAAAAAGGACACTTGTTCAAACTTTTCGACGAGAACTTGATAGGTTTTGGGTTTTGACTGCACATCCGGAATTGAATCTTTTTGCTGCTGGTAAAGTTATTCAAGATTATATTTGAGACAAAATTTTTGAATGGAATAATTTACTTACTTTATTTGCTAAAAATTATTCTTTATAGGTCATGATAACGGGCTTATTGTATTTAAATTAGAGAGAGAACGACCGGCTTATGCTGTACACCAAACTAGCTTATTTTATATTAAAGACAAAATATTGCGTGTTTATGAGTATACTGACGCGACAGACGTGCCTGTGCTGTCGGTGCGCAAAATAGGTGGCCAATATGTCAATCCACGTTCATTATCATATAATCCTGCTGAACGGGCAATAATTCTCACTACTGTTAGTAGTTTTTCTCTGTAATTTTCCGCAATCCTAAAATATGATTCACATCCATTGAATATTATTTAGCCTACAGATGGTGGAACTTATGAATTGTTTCATCTCCCCAAAGACATTACCGGTGAACCACGAGAAGCATCTGCTGATGGCAAACGTGGATCTGGCACATCTGCAATTTTCACTGCTAGAAACAGGTTTGCAGTTCTCGATAAGACGCGACAGGTATCTTGAAGAAATTTAATTTTTTTATGTGCAATTTATTATTATAAATGATATTGATTAACATTCTATCATTCATTAATCACAAAAGCAAATTGAAATTCGTGACTTGACAAATATAGTAACAAAATCAATTAAACCCCCAGCAATGATCAACGAAATATTCAACGCAGGCAGCAGCAATCTATTATTACTGAGCACTTCCACGTCCGTCATATTATATGATGTTCAACAACGACAAACAGTCGGCGAGATAAATACTCCTCCTGTTAAATACGTCATTTGGTCGGCAGATCATAGTCAAGTGGCACTGTTAAGCAAACATAGTAAGTAATTGAGTAAGCAATTCTCTTATAATCCATCCACATAAGAATGACTTTTGCGCGCACTATTCTTTAATTTCTATTTTTTTATCACAACGACGATAATAAGCCATAACTATTGCCAATAAGACGCTGGAACAAAGTTGTCTTATTCATGAGACAATCCGAATTAAAAGTGGTGCATGGGATGATGCTGGAATCTTTATATATTCTACTCTTAATCATATCAAATATGCTCTACCACAAGGGTACTTAAATATTTTTGTTTTTCATATATCGAATTCCAGTATTTTTTTTCTTGTTTGGATTGTATTAAAATTAATATTTAATATACATTATAGAGACAACGGGATAATACGGACTCTCGATCAACCCGTTTATCTGACGAAAGTCAAGGGCAAAAGCGTTCATTGTCTTGACCGAGACGGCAAGACGCGTGCGATTAGTATAGATCCGACGGAGTATCGATTCAAATTGGCGTTAGTTAAGCGAAATTATGATGAAGTCTTGCAAATTATTCGTACTTCGAATTTGGTTGGACAAGCTATAATTGCCTATTTGCAGAAAAAAGGATATCCTGAGGTACTTGCACCGATCGGAGCTAATATTTGGACTATAATGGTTTTATATATAATATTGGGATTTATCTGCTATTCTATTTGAAAATATTAGGTTGCTCTTCATTTTGTACGAGATGACAAAACACGATTTGACCTTGCTTTAGAATGTGGAAATATCGAGGTAGCCTTGGAAACAGCCAAAAAAATGGACCGTGAAGATTGCTGGAACAAACTCGGTGCCGAAGCACTTCGCCAAGGGAATCAGCAGGTGGTCGAAATGGCTTATCAAAGAGTAAAGAATTATGACCGCCTGTCGTTCCTTTATCTGTGTACTGGTAACGTGGAAAAATTAAGAAAGATGTTGAAAATTGCCGAACTTCGAAACGATAACATGTCCCGATTCCATAATTCGCTTTTCCTTGGAGATGTCGAAGAGCGTGTCCGATTACTTAAAGAAGTTGGCCAATGTATTCAAGAATGATTTATTATCCATTTTTGTCTAGCATCTAATCAATAGAAATTCACTGTTATTCATTCAATCAAAAATTTTAATATCTTTATTAGTACCCTTGGCTTATCTTACTGCTCAAAGCCATGGACTGATTGAAGAGGCAGAATCGATTTTGGCTGCATCTGGCTTGACTCCTGAGGAGATCACTGATTTACCTGCAAATGGACAATTATTAAAACCACCCACACCTATTATCAGACAACAAGATTCCAATTGGCCATTATTGACAGTTTCACGTTCATTCTTCGATAGTGCATTCGCAAATGCGGAAAGCAATCCATTGGCAGCACCTGCATTTTCTGATGCTGCCGAAGGAATCGGCGAAATTGGTGATTGGGGAGAAGATGATATGGGATTTGGCGAAGAAGGCGAAAAGACAAACGATGAACAAAGATTAGGTGGCGAGGCTCTCGAAGAAGGCTCTGGATGGGATATTGATGCTGATCTTGGCACGCAACTTGATTCACGAGTCAACGAAGAACTTGCAAATGGATCACAAGAATACGTTCCCCCAGCTTCCGGAACTAACGAATCTGAACTCTGGATACATAATTCGCCATTAGCAGCTGATCATGTCGCTGCCGGATCCTTCGAAACTGCCATGCAGGTTTATATTACTTTAAAAAAAATCCTTATAAAAAAATCTATTCAATTTTTTGACTTGTTTATATATTATTTATGTGACTTTATTTGGCACTCACCACCACAATCACATCAAGCTTCTCAATCGACAAATTGGAGCGGTTAATTTTGCACCTTTGAAGTTACACTTCTTAAAAACTTTCCAAGCTACGCGCACTTATCTTCCTGCCAATGTTTCGCTTCCTTCATTAGTATATCATGTTCGTCGAAATCCTGAGGAAACAGAAACGCGTAGAGTTCTCCCGATTTTGGCTAATCATTTTGAGAACATTCGTTCTACACAACTTCCCGAAGCATATAAAACCACGACAGCCGGCAAATTCCAGGATGCTACCGTACAGTTTCGGAATATACTTCATTCTATTTTGTTGGTTGCCGTCCCAAAAAAATCAGAAGTGGATAAGGTATGTGGATCTGTGTTGACAAATCGGTGAATTACATATAATTAAGAGACGTTTGTTTTTTAATACAAAGATTTATAATAATTTTAATTATTTAGGTTAATCAATTAATTGAAATATGCCGTGAATATATTTTGGGATCATCAATGGAACAAGCTCGTCGAAAACTGACATTAGATAATCCGGAAAACATTAAACGTTCTCTTGAATTGGCCGCATACTTCACTCATTGTCGACTAGATCCAGCTCATTTGCAACTTAGTCTTCGATCCGCAATGGGACTTAATAATCGTGTAAAGAATTGTCTGAGTGCTTCTACATTTGCTAGACGATTATTAGAATTAGCACCACCAACTCAAGTGGCTACACAAGTATGAAGGATCAAATATTATTTACATATTTGTTTATTCTACTAATGTTTATATTTCTATTTATAATAGGCCCGTCAAATACAGTCTGTATGTGACAGGACACCACGCGATGAAATAGCATTCGAATACGACCAATATAATCCATTTGTTGTGTGCGCTATTTCATATAAACCAATATATAAGGGAAGTCCATCGGTCGAATGCCCATATTGTCGCGCATCGTATCTTCCTGAACATCGGGGCAGCCTTTGTGCAATTTGTGAGATATCACAGATTGGTGCGAATGCAACAGGATTAAAAAATTTTATGCAATGATTGTAAACAATTAATTATAAAAGTGAAAAAGGATAGAGATTTCTTTGGGAGGGCGGAGGTGGTGGAGTAGATAAAAAGTAGTATTATTTTTATTTTCGATAGATTTCTTTTGTATCCTAATGTTTTAATATACAATAAAATATTTATGCTATTATACATGGCACGCGTTTTTTGTGCGTGGTGACGAGCAGATCGAGCTGGTATGTATCAATATCTTCGATCAAATTGAAAGTTATTTTATTATCCTCCTCTTTCTAATCAGAGTTTTTTACTTGGACAGTTTGCATGAAAAATAATGGCGGTTAAAATTTTTTAAAACTTTATTATAAAACAAAAATAAAAAGTGATTTTTGTAATATGTATTTCAATATAGGCTTGAATATGATCCAGCATACTGATGATATATTAAAAAATGATCTTGTTCGGAAGATTTATATTTGTGATGCTCTCTATTTTTTCATGGTTATTATATAATTCCAATCTTAATTCAAAGAAATGAAATATTTGACATGTGTTTGAAACATTATTTTATTTATTAATATTTATATATATTGTGTTTTAGATCAATTCTTGTTTTAGATAACCTTAAATAATCGATTATCAAGCTATATATTTTATTTAATAATTAATATCTAATAAAATTTTATTATTTAAGATAAGTATTGATTTAAGATATAATATATATAAATAATAATTTTAATTTTTCTATATATTATTATTATTCTTAATTAAATAATTAAAGAATGAATCAAATATAATATTTAATTATTAAAAAATATATAATAAGAATAAATATATTTATTAAATTAAATATTATTTAAAAAAGAAAATACTTTTAATAAATATAATTAAAAAGAAAATAATAATAAAATTTGTAAATTTATTAATAAAATCTTTAAAAAATTTTGATTTTTTTATTATTATATTATGGTGCGGGAAATCTTAACTCGCCAATCACGTGAATGTGTTTCAATTTTGCGTATGCAATGTAATATAGCATATTATATAATGCAGCCAATAACATAACAGGCATTAAGCAATGTAGATGTAACATAGCATGTCATATAATGCAGCCAATAATGTAGCAATAATTAAGAATGCATTATAATCATATTAAATAATTATTATTATTCATTTAAATAAATATTATTACTATAATAAAATTTTAATTGTTTATTATTTTTTTATTTAAGTTTTTTAATGCAACATCACATCATGCATTAGCGCGACTTATTTATTTATTTATTAGTTCGTTTCCCTCCGCTCACCTTATTTATTTATCCAACAACCATTTATCCTTTATTTATTCATTCCATTTGCTTCTATTATTTGATCAATATTCTCTGGGATTCTACGGTGTGACTTGAACTTATTAACTGCCCACTCAGCAACTCTATCTTCTAATCCTTTGTCATATACATCCATATACCTCCAAGATTTGCGTGCAAACTTGTGAATAGTAGTTATAGGCATACTATTAAGGACTTTCGGAATCTGCTCTAATAATTCTATATAGTTATAGCTGCATGCCTTTCTAGTTTTCCATTTTACATAACCCCAATAGTGCTCTATAAAGTTACATTCACAATGAAATTTCAGATATCTTTCTAAGATATGGTTCACATTAACGACTGCTTCCTCCAACAATAACCGCTGTTCAAGAAAGTCAGGCTGTAAGGACATAATTCTTTGTGTGCAGCAGTCAAACCTTTTGGATTCTTCATTAGTACATTTCCCTAAGCATTTTTCACACACCAAACGGATCTTCCTCGTGGGCCAAAGATTGCATTCTGAAAGTACTTGCTTAATACCTTTTGGCTTTCCTCTCAATTGTACTACTGAATAATCATCAGGAAATATCATCGATTGTATGCACTTCTCATCATACTCATCAATATACCAACCATTACATATTTTAGGCTGTGCTCCCCCAGGACTCAAGTTCATTTTTGTTGCAACCAACGCATCCTCTGCCATAGAATTGTAGTTGGTTGATTGATCAAAACAGAAAACTCCAGTATATTCAGGATGCAATACCTTGAATATTGGAATTGCTCTATGGACAAGTTGGTCCAACATATGCTCCGATCTCCAATACCTATTAGCTTGGACAGAATGAAGAACAAATAATTCCTTGTATTCGATATGTGGATTTTCATGCAATTGCTAGTTGGATAGCTGTAATAACCCGTGACATGGACAGAGAAAAGCCGAAACTATAATGGAACATCCCATATGTTTCGAGCGTAGAATATCCTCTCCTTCTTGTATTCAGATTCTCCATTGCCTATCATTAGTGTAGAAATGGCATTCGTCATGTATTATTTGAATGAATTCTCTTTCTCCCGGCTAGAGCTGGGGCTCCAATACAACATCTAACATGCTCCCATTAAAGTCTTTCATATTGTTCTTGTATGTAAACATCCTTTTTACCCATTCCTTCCTATATTTTACTACGTCTAAATATTCGTGCCTATCAAAATAAATACCCTTTCTTCTTTTATTATACGTAAATCCCCATATATGTATATAGTTACGGCATGTCTTCTCAGAGATAGAGTCCTTTTTGATATGGCCAGTCAAATTTGGAAACAATATCTCTTCGATATATACCTTTAGGTTACTGGGAGATCGAGCTTCTGGTTTTTGTTGCCGTAACCATATCTGGCAGCTTTTGGAAAAATCTTCGTCTTCCACCAAACTTTCGAGTTTTGTATGCTTCTCTTAGCAGTAAACAAGAAGCTCCCCCATCTTTATAAAATAATTACTCCATTTCCAAATACACTTGGACATGTACTCCTCTTTCTTCCATATATCTTGTGCAATTTGCTTGCTGACATCTATCTTACCTCACCCTTCTAACAATAATTGAATAAATTGACATATGCTCAAAAGGCGTAAATAATCGTATGTAAAGACTTGATAGTTTGTCTTGATATTCTTTCCTATCGAACACTTCTGGTCGAGTATCTCCAAGTAGGCATGAAGGTTTTCCAATAATTCGTGTGCATTCAGTAACGATGATGTGCCAGTACCAGGCTGGAAAGTAACTTGAGAGGCTTCTAGTGATGGGGGCATCGATATATCACTTTGGAAAACTGGTTGAAAAAATGCATCGAGCTTTTTTATTCCCTTCACGTGCTCTTCATATTTTTCCTTTTCCCTTTTTTGCCTCCATATCGTTATCCTTGAATTTCCAGTATATACTGGTCTAAGACTGTTTGCAGCACCTTTATGCCACCCGAGAATATTATTGATGAATCTTTTCCCTACTTCTTGAAACTCTGTCAATTCTTCTTCTGCCCATACATCTATTTCAATGATTTCTTCATTTTCGGCAGCGGTCATTGCTTTTGAGAGGTCTGTTTCGATAATGTCTTCATTTTCAGTAGTGGTCATTGCTTTTGAGAGGTCCATTTCGATAATGTCTTCATTTTCAGCGGTCATTGCTTTTGAGAGGTCTGTCTCTTGGCGAAGAAAGTGGCCCTTCTTCCTGAGAAAGTTGGCTATTTGCTTTTGCTTTTTTGTGAAAGGTGTCATTGAGCATTTAAATATTTTCTGATGGGCTGGGCTCAGGAGGCGGATATGATGTAAGTGGCTCTTAAAGTTTATTTTAAATGTTCGCTTAAATGCTAATTAAGCGGTATTTCTTAAAATGATTAGGTGCAATTAATTTTTTGGGGAGCTTAGTATGAGGCTTAGATCATATGATCATTAATATCGAACCAATAAAAATTATTCACGTACAGTGTATTATTGTAATTGACCAATAAAATTGATTTCACGTGATAAAAAAATCACATGATATGTTTCAATTCTGACCAAAATATATAATAAATACCCGATTTAAAATGCTTATAACTTTTTATTTAAAACTTAAATTAAAATTCTGACCGGTAGTTTAATAGTACATATCTTAAATAACATTATTACCAGTTTATTTTTTTTAAATTTGATTTATTAAAGGCTCTAATAGCCTTTAAATATTACATAATTTATTGGTGAGTTAAGATTTTCCGCACCATATTAGTCACAAAAAATTATATATATTATAGAGTAAAAGCTTACTTTGTATTTATCTATGTGATATTATAATAAAGTTCTGCTTATTTCGATTGATGAATAGTTTGAATTTAGCATAATATCACATATGCTCATAATATATGTACATAAGTTGATGGATAGTGGTTTTTCATGAAGAGATGGAAAGGTAATATGAATGATATAGTTAATATTACTAGTACCATTATTTCCAAGTTGAAATAACTTATTATAACATTCAGTCACTTCTAACGATACTTTCTATTCAGAAATTTTCTTGGAATTTTTTTGGTTGTTAATCAGAAGTAAGCTATTCATTCTAAAAATATAAAAAATTGCTTTCTTAACTGCTGTCACATTGAAATCACGTATATCTTTCATTCTTCTCATAATCTAATTGAGATATAAAAATTATTAATAAAATTCAATAAAACTATAATTATGATAATTACCACTGAGTGATATTGTCCAGAAAAAGTGTTGATCTATTCATGTTTTCTGATTTCTTGCAAATAGTCAGGATGATTGCGGTTGAGCCAGGATTCAAGTCCCTTCTTATAATCATTGAATTATGGCCATAGTTTAGTTAGAAAAAAACTTGAACAGACATTGCTATAACTATCCTATAATTATTCAAATTTTGAATTCAACAATATATATAAGAGAATTAAAATAATATATACTTACAGCTCACACTTTTCCACTTAAATTTATTTTTTTGTCTTGTTCCTTTCTTATTTATGTCTCAATTTTTTCTAATTTATCAAACATCATTTTCTGGAGCTCATAAATTATTTTAAGTTATCAATCTTGTTTTAATATAACTTCATTGCAGCATTTTTCACATTGAGTATGCTCATCTATATCATATAGTTTAAATGATGTTCTTGGTAAACCAGTTGATGTTCTAGGTGAACTAGTGAGAGCAGACAATTTTGATGAACTAGAAGTAGTAACAG